CGGTTGCGATTTTTATATTTTATATAAGGTACCTACAACTATAATTAAAACTCGCATTTAAACGGCTACACTATATTTTTAATATTTATTATTATATTATAATTTAATATTTAATAATATTTATTTCCTTTACCGTTTGTAATACCTTCTAACTAGGTATGCCGTAACCACAATAACTTCTTACTACAAAATTAAAAATAATTCGTCGAATAATAAGTCGACTTATGAATTAAATTGGAATAGTGAAATATAAATATAAGAGAAATTCATCAGCGTGTGTACAAACTAAACATATTTTCTTTGAAATATTCATTTCGAAGAATCGTGCAATTAGTACAAATTATATAAAAAAAAAAAACGTGAAACTTATGGATATTAGGTATCTATTAAGAAAAATTCCTGTTTTATTTTATCGAATTTACAACGAGGCCACATGCAGTTAAATTACATTTTTTTGCGTCTGATCTTTTTTTTATATTTAACCATACTTCTAGTTATACTTTTCCCTGGCCATATTTTATTTAGCCGTTATTCAGCAGACTACTATATTCTAATACTACAATTTACTAATAATAAATGTATGCAATTATTTTAAAAGCAATCATATTTTATAGATACTGTAATCACAATTTTTGTTCTATTGATATTACTAAAAGACATTTTCTAAAATGTATTATTATAATTATAAAATATTTCTATGCATCAGCAATTTTTATAATAATCATTTAAATATTAATATTACAGTTTCACCGTTGAAATCGCGTCTGATTTAGTCCAGTTTATATAATACAACAATAAATATAAAATATCTTTTTGTGCAGTCCTAAATAATTCTAAAACACTCATAGCTACCCACAACTTCAAAAGAAATATCTATTATAGTAACTTTGTATTTTACAATCAGCTTTCGTATGATAACAATTCTGTTTTTGCGTTTTTCAGTGAAGTATTATCAGAGACTTTTGATCTTTTTGGATTTTATAAGTGATTTTACTCGATCATTTAACATTTTGACCCGTACCACTCCAAAACCATTATATGATAGAAATCATTTTAACAACAACGCGGGACGTTTGTGCGGATAAAAATAAAATAACAGGAACCTTTGTGTATACAAAATCCCATACGTCGTTATTTTCCAGTGTTGCTTTACAAAAGACGATTATTCTTTAACACTGCAATTAAATTCCCCTTCCCCGCCCTCCAAACACATTTTTATCACATTTAATTATAATGGTAGATTCGAATATCGTTGTATTAATAAAATAATTTGGTTCGTATGAAATTTAAAATTTACAACATTATAATTATAAATAAATTTAAATACTTTGATATGTTACATAACTACACGGGGAAAGGTTCAAGAAATGGGAAATTAGAAATTACTAATTCATACATAAATAGGTATCTATTAAATTCGTGGTGGGCGACTAATGAATTAAGTTCAAAATCTTCTTCTTCTTCTCTTGTTCAGTTAAAATTGCCAATAATCAGTTAGTTATAAATAGGTAATATATATGAATAAACAATAAAATAAACAAATAAACAAATAGTAATAGCACCAAAATTAATGATCGGTAACTTTGTCAAATCTTATATTGCAGCCAATGTGTAGCTGTGTCTATAGCATTAGTTCAAAATAAATTTGCATATCGTTAATTACCAAACTCTCTGAATTATTTATCAATTTCCGTTAGTAGATAGTATTGGAACGAATATCACTTATTTGTAAAGTTCTACTTGTTAATAAGTTAATAATTTTAAGGTACACCGTTAAAAAAAAAAATTACTTGGGAAATGGTTTTTGTAATTTACACGAATCGATAATAATAATCGATTAGTATACCGAACAATTTATAAAAATTTAAATTAATTAGATCTGTTTGAGTTGTACGTATTCTTATTCATACACTATATAAATTAATTTTTGTGATCTGGTCAATTTTATCAAATCAAACAATGTACTAAAAAGGCAATTCTCATCTATCGAAGTATTTGTAAATTTTCGTTGATGGATTTGTTTATAAATTTTTTATTTATTTATTTATTTTTTTTATTTTTTTTTTTTTTTTGAACTATTGTTTAAAAGAAAGCTTTTAGAACAGCATATATTATAAAGTTGTTACTTTACTCATAGAAACTCAACTCGCTTTAAAATAAAAACTACGTAACTAAGTTTTCAACAGATAGGGAAATACCCTAAAGTAAAAATAAACTACTCAGGGTAATATGAATCGGAATGGAATAATACGAGTAGTATAGGTACTTATAGTACTTTACCAGGATGTCCGGAACACTGTCGAGACCGTAGAAGTTTAATTGTAACTCGAACTGATGGTAAGGTAAGTACACAAAACAAATCAAATATAAATAATCGATTGGGAAATTAAATAATACGTTTATATTCTGAGAGGATCAGGCATTTAAATTTGTATTTTATTTAATATTTAAATATAAATCAAAGTACTAGCGTATAATAGGTATTGATTTTTATATACTTTAAAGAAATTTCTCCTCGAATTTTTGTTAATTATGTCTTTGTTTTATTACGAGTAGTCGAACAAAAATTGAATTAATAACACGTGTGGTGATTTTTCACAAATTTCGATATTAATTTTGTATAATTTTTTATAATCGCACGAGTATCAAAAGTAAATTTCATAATGTAAAAAAAATTATATATATATATATCATGCAATTAGTTTACAATTAAATGTTTCATTTATTTTGTTAAAAACTTTGCGCAATAGCAGATATCTTTTTGAATACAGATATTATTGTAATATGCGATTGCATGATTTTATATACACCCTATAATATTGTATAAAAATAGACAATACGCGCATTTTCCACGGTCAACTATTTTATAAAAAATATGTATACATTTATAAATCATTTATAATCATTAAACATATAATTTCTGAGGTTTACATCATATTTTAAAATATACCGCGGAGTATATATAATCAGTTCAGCTTGGTGACCCGGTACTTAAAGACGTAATACTTAATATTTTACAAAAATACCAACGTTAATATTATTAAATATCGCGTAAAATGAAAATAATTCCGCTTTGAAAAATCGCGTTTTATCGCCGTTATCACCACATTTATTGCGCAGAATAAAATAGTATAATTGTCAACATGCCTATATTGATGTCTTAAAAATTTAAAAGAATTTATAATATTCGAATTCGAAGGATTACAGCTAGTCGAGTACTCGACTCGACTGTCTTATTTAAAAATAATAATAAATGTAACTACTCGGTATAAATATCTTCAAACCCGAATATTTCCATAATGATTACCGCATTGATGATTTGAATTTACAAAAATAGATTAATATTATCATACAATGATGGTGTATTATGATAACGAAATGTATGTTTAATTTAAATTTAGTTCGATATTTGACATTTGTTTTTTTTGTTTTTTTTTTAATATTCTTTGACTCGAGTACCTACTTGACTTTTGAACTCGACTCGCCTCGAAAATATTAATGCTCGAATCGACTTTAAAAAAAACAAAAACCAAAACTCGGCCGTCTCTACTAATAATAATAACTATTTCATAACGAGAACTCGCACACTAATATTTTTCGATATCAATAATTTTACATGTACATTCCAATTGCATACCGAATAGTAAATTGATTTATTGTAATAAAATCCATGTGCGATATTACATCAAAGATCGTGTTGTAAATTTCGGACAATGTCGAGCACGGTTATTTCCGTTATAATACAATATTGTCGTAACAATAGCGCGTCGTCGGCTCCGGCTCGTTGGATACTACGGTAATTACCGTTTTATTTTCGATCGTCGCCCGCGCACCTTACCGTAATACCAGACGTCGTAATGCGGACACACGCCGTCGATCGGTTCTCGCGTATAATACGGACCGGCGGCGCTGTTCGAGCGTCCGAAACGAGTCGAGGTACGACGAGTATTTATATTAATTTTTTATCGTTAGTTTTCCTAATGAAATTAATAGTTCTTAATAATAAGAAACTTTTTTCGTTGCATTTCGGTTCTAGTTGCCACTATACAAATGTTATTTGTAAAAATTCTCCTTAATTTTCGAGATAATAAGGAAAAATTGGTTCTCTGGGTTAAAAAATATTAAAAATGAAAAATAACGTTTTGGTTGGCGATCGTTTTTATTTATTAAGTTTTTACTATTGTAAATTCTCAAATTTCTTTTTTAAAGAGTCGTTATTGTCGTGAAAACGCACATAATTGTTGAAAAAGCAGTACTATTGATCGAACTCCGGTCAAATAGTTTTTCGTTAACATATCCCGTCCTTCCAGTATCAGCTCGTTTTTTTTTTTTATACATATATAAATATAATGATACAGAACTGATGTATATAAAAAATATAAAATAATAAAGTGAAAACAAAATTATTAAAATAGTTAATAATCGTAAATAAATATATAAAAAAACATATATAGAACTAACTATATATAGAAATAAAATAAAATTAATGAATGTGTCGCCTGGAGTATTATAATAACTGATAAGCGTATTATACGATTGGTTTCGAATTAAAAATTCATCATCAGGTATATCACGGTCGAAATGTAAAACACGACTGAATATAAAAAATTAAATGAAGGAATTACATAGAACGAAATTATTCAAATTGGTCGTTTTACATAGAAATAATTTATTTTAAATAATGAAAAATAATTTTAATAATATTTTAAATGTACAGTTTGTATATAACTGTAATAAATTTTATCTAGGTAAGAAAAATAGAAATTATAAAACTTATCGTTTTTATAAATTTAAAAAAAAAATATATTTCTTAACAAATAAATTTATACAGATAAATTTGTAATAATTCTTGTCGTTTAGAAATTAAAATAATACGATGTTAAAACTAATATAACTAATAATAAAAAACGAAAAATCGCTGATAAATGTTTCAACGTGTAATCGTACATTGACTAGAAAATAATAATCAATTTTTATTATTTGATTACAAAATTATGGTCTTACTGTCTCTGAGATACAACGAACAACGATAATATTACCTGTCCCATTTGAAGTTTGAAAATCATGAACATCAAATACTCCAGGGCTTTTCCGACGTCTACAATTTTCCGTACGGACAAGCCGTACAAACGCTCGTAGCACGATATCGCGTCGATCGATATTGTACTACTTTCGTGGTTAGCAGTAGTATTTCCAACACGGTGGCTGGCGGCAGAAGCCCGCTTTTGCACTTCTGCACCTTTGGTGGTGTATGCGAGTGATGGCACACATAGGGGGCGAGCACCGTCCCCCAGCCGCCGGCTCTGAGGTTTCCGAGGCCTCTGACACAGTAACGGTTTTTTGTACTTCATGTTGTATTTTTGGCGAATTCTAGCCTGCTTTTTATACCTACTGCCAGGTGCACTTGTTCGCGACCGCTTATTCCGCCCAATTCCAATCCTTAGGTCATGGGCGTATATCGCGGCTACCCTGCATATCTGCAGGGCATTCCCCTATCCACAAACGTGGGGACGCGCCCGATGGCATGTGCAATGCGCACGGGTTAAAATCGAGTCCTGCGAGCCAGCGTCGCCTTGCTTTGGACATTGGATGACAGTCAAGACGCCCGCAGTCTTGTTGAAAAACTGCGCCGTCACTGCCTGAAACATTAAACGCGAACAAATTACTAAACAAACGCCACTGGTCATATAATAATATTTTTGCGTTGAAATTTACAAGAATACGTCACATATAACATTACAGTTTACGTTGAAAAAAATTGTTCGAATAAAATATTAGAATTCGATAAATAAAGAAAAAAATTATCGTTTATAGTCATGACGGTCTGTTACCGAATGAAACTATTTTGAATACGATTTCTATCGGTCGAGTATCGCGTTCCCGTAGTAACCGTTGCATACCGGCTGATATTGTTATTACTACAATATTGTTTCGGCCTACTGCAGATTACTAAAAAATCGAGAATTATTTATTTACTTTTTTCTTTATAGCTAGGAAATTATTTTTCATTTCGTATTATACTCGATCCCAACGAGACGAAAACTTTTGATTTTTGATTTTCTGTGTGATGGCTATAATTATCTTTTATAGAGTCGTATTTTATTCAGCAATCTTGCAAAATATTCAAACACTTATTCTAGTCACAAATATTTTTTTAGATTTAGAAGAAACGACTTGAAATTTGAACTTATATTTGCCTTTTCTGGACGAGGTAAAAATTTCAAAACATTGTTTGTAGCATATTGAACTGTCATTGAGGTAAAATAGGTACAATCTTAAACAGATATTATTAAAGAAAATATATATAGCATATTTAATTATTTTACTATAATATGGCATATATATTGTTGATAATGCATCACTATTTACTATTAACCACACTTCGATCAGAATCGTTTTCCGTTAGCAATGGTTAATCACTGCATACAGATAAACATTAAATTACTCTCTGTATCCCATCTTTTCAACTTCTCACCAACAATACCCATTATTCGATGTATGTCCGTCATTTTTTTCTATAAATAACTTTTGTTCCGATTTTCAGATGGACCATATTTTAAGGAAACAAATTGTATCTATATGGTATAGTGAGACGATCATTTTCCATTGCAGTTTACATAATAATCATAAAAAAAACTATACAGGAAACACGAACACATTTAGTTTAAACCTAACCTAACCTAACCTAACGATTTAATTAATTTAGATATTTTTCTATTTTGTTTTTTTACCCGAAATCTCACTCGGAAATTCAAGTGTGGCATAATTTCTGGAAAGCAATATTTTCTAGGTTTTGTAAATTGCGTGTAATAACTAAGGTATTTGATGAATTCCATTAATTGACTATATCTATATAACTATATTATAAGCATCTTATAATTTTAATAATATTAAAAGATCTTTTTTTTCGAATTAATTTTGTCCTTTTAAACTCGAATCTAATAAATATTCTCCAAATATGGTCTCGACTTGCTTATCAGCTTATCAACTGTCGTTCGGACACACATCCACATTGAGCCTAACATACGATTAGTCTGGTACAAAGGTGCCTGCTAAAACGTACCGTCAGCAGATCGCCAGGGGGGATGGGGAAGTTTAACTGTAAATAATTTGATGGTATTTACTAAATGTTATACTTTTAGTGGGTCCGAAATATTTTTCGAAAGTCTAATAGAGTATATAATACTATATTATAATTGAAGACATGAGAGCGACAAGACATCTCCAATCAATACAATTGTTCAGGAGGCAATTTAAACTCTCCGGAGGTGTATTGTTATTGCATAAGAACCAGACACCTCTATTTATAGGATATCTATAACGCATTCGTTTATTTATTTATTCTTATTTCTGTATATAAATTTTGTAAATCAGTCCCGAAAGTATGATTACAAAACGCGAAATGCATTGGTTACGAAAAAAAGGAACGATAAACGGTAGTGCATCTAGAGGACGTTACACATGCATTTGTTGGTTCCGTGTTGCAAACACAAGTTATAAGTAAAAACATGCTTACGCAGACTACACATAATACGCTTGGTTTCGGTTTTAGAGTAAAAGCACCCGTTGCGTTTTTTTTTTTTTAAAAAAAGTTTTGGCGATTTGAAAAAAAACGTTGAAAAAGTATTCATTTATAAACGGTAAATCGACAGTGATATTCGGAGAAAACGGTAAAAACTAGAAATGTTCTATAGGTACGACCGGACGATTTCGACGCGGCCGGACCGGCCGGTTCCGACCCCGTGCGGTTTCAACCGCACATTGTTGTTATTTGTTATCTCCGTCGATATCGCGTACGCCCCGGAGACCCGCCGCGGTCACACGCCCGGTACACGCGTAGGTATTTTATCGCCGCGCACAACAGCACCAACGACGACGACATTATCGCGTACAACGCGGAACGGTATAAGTACGACGTCCTCGCCCGCCGCGCCGCGATACAGTGTTTATCACTCGTAAACAATATTATCGTTTCAACACGAGGAGCCGTTCTCGCGTGCGCATTGTGGCCACGTAAATTCTGGTATTCCAATTGCAGATGGGGCGCCGCCTATAACGCGCCCGTCGCGCGCAATTATTGTCGCGTTGTTACGCTGTTGTATTTTCGGAACGCGTATTGCGGCTGTTTAAGTCGATATCGAGCCGGTTGTACGGCTACAGGGCCGGGAACATTTGTAATACACGAGTGTCTATAGATAATAAACGAACGGACGGGCCACTCCTAAAACGATAATTGTAAACGATACCATGTTCCCGGAGGGGCGGTAAACTGAGGCGATTTATCGTTGATCACTATGTGCGGATAAAACGCCTCACTTTATGAAACTATATGTAACTGTACCCGTCCCTCTTGAAACACCGGTAAGACATCTACAGTCTGTCCATATCTTGACCATATATTGTCTATTCGGTTATCAACGCCTCCGAAAACGGCAATGAACCGTAATGTATTAAGTCGCTGTCCGAAAATGATAAGAATTCGGTAACGTGTTAATATACTGCACACGAAATATAAATCCTGCCCGGTGCAGTTTTGCATAACAAATCACGGTTTATTTTCGAAATTTCAAAATCCCACTTCTCTCCCTCTTTTATACTTAAAAGAGAATAAAAAATGAAATTAACTGATTACAATACAATCCGTATCTTGTTGATTCAATACGATATTATTGTCAATGCGTATGTATTATTCACGTAGTAAACACACTCGCCTATCGCAACGTAATGTACCAACGTTTGTCTTTAACATAACTCTCAAGTAAAACGGTTATTTTAACCTATTATATGTTATATTAAATAATCACCTATAGTAATTTTTGCCTACAAACTGAATATTTTATAGAATACAGATTGATTTAGATGATAAATTTAAACTAAAGGCCTTTTACTTTTTACTTTTTTTCTATCCGACTATATTGTAATTTGAATAAAATTAATTTCAACCTATTATATATATATCATATTTTACCGAATGGTGGGCAAACTTAATTCAAAATACATTATTCATGAATTATTAAAGGATTAATTAATAATTAACTATTTTAATAAGTATCTTCATCTCTCATTTTATACTTATCAAATTATACACGTAATTAATATCATAGTATTCTTATTTTTTAAATGACAATAATATGCATTTATAAAAAAATGAACTTTTCTGAAGGCATACATCATTGCTAACGAAAAACGATTCTGGGTTTGACTAAACATATTTTAATAATTTTCAACTGAAAATAAATAACAATTTTCCGTGTTTTCCGTCTCAAATCGTTGAAAATTATTATGGAACCAAACAAAATCCATATAATATTAGAAAATAGTACTTACTTGAAATTCAATAATATTTGTTATCAAAATTTTAAAATCTTTCAGAAACCGTTTTACTACGCAAAATGTTCCCAGTTATTCCCGGGCTTACCCGATCAAAAGGAAATCGACAAGGGAAATAAAAAAAAATCTCAACAATGTACGAACAAGACAATATTTTTTACTAGAAACCAAGCGCACTCGCTGGATAAAATCCCACTTGGGGTAAAACGGGGAAACATTTTGCTCCAGAAATATTTTATATTGTTTTGGTAAAATAGTAAGCCATAATACGTGATAAAAGTATTTACAGTAGAAAATCTCAGGTTGGTATACATTCTTTTGCCCCCACTACAGGTGCCTTTGCAAGAAATTACCCCTGAAATTAACGATTGGAGAAAGAACTCTAGTATAAAAGCGAGTTAACAGACACATCATAATATTAAAACCAGTGCATTTCTACGCACAAAATCTGATACCACGTAACTGTTTTCGTAAACTTACTATTCCGTCGTTGACTTTAATTTTTCACGATTTCTAGTCATTTGGGCACAGAAATCTCAAAAAAGAACTTCTAAGTAGGTAACATCTGCAGTGTTCAATTGTCTATGTATAAATTTGTTGCATAAAACTTTCCAAGCCTGGTTTTTACCGGCTTAAAAATTATACTCCAAGATAAATGTGAAAAGATAACGGCATGAACGACCAGAAAAAAACACATTATTGTAAAAACTTGCAATACGCTCTTAGCTTCTCTCGTTTCATTTCAAATCGTCAATAGTATAGTCACCTATTATCTTATGATGATAATAATATATAAATACGATCTGCAGTATTGATGGTTATTGAAAAACCCATTTTATAACCAACTCAATGACGCAAAAAAAAAAAAATCATTTAAATTGATTTATGCTAACGAAATGAATGGTTATTTGATAAAAATATATATACCTAAATACTAACAATAATAAAAGATCCATAACGAAATTATTCAAATTTTAAAGGAACATTTATATACTATTTTATAACAATAAAGCTTAGAGTA